AAACCATAATTCTCATCCAAAATTCTTTATCCCAAAACTTTTATTAGGGTTACAAAACCCAAGGTTTAAAACCATTTCTTGACTAAACAGGGAATTCCCACATATCCAATTAACTATCTGTATATCACTGTGATGCTCAGCGAGAAACATGACCTAATCTAACATGTCAAATATTTAAAGACTCAACAAAGTAAACATAAACCTTGTTTATATTATTAAAAGCAACATTGTCAGTTACATTGAGTTTGAACAAGCTATCAGCAAGGTACCCTTCCCTACAAACAATCCTCCTTTGGTTAGGATGAACCTGTCATATTCAAATACAAGTTTGAAACCCTTCTTACTAAGAATAGGGTCAGACACTAAGTTCTTCCTAATTTCAAGAACATGCAGCACATCCAAAGGGTTAAAACCTTCCCATAGGTGCAAGTGGCACCACCGCACAGGGCCCCCAATTCTTAAGGGCCCCAAAAAAAATATTTCTTTATATTATATATATATTATTGTAGGCATCATATATATAGTATAGCATCTGGATATTTGCACAACAGCGTGTCTAGGGGACTTGGCTAGAGCGCGTATCTCGTTAACAACAATACCAGAGTTCGATTCTCATGAGGTCGATCTTTTGGCCTTCCTTTATATTATTTTTGCATTTGAACTTTACATAATTAAAAACAGGAAACATCGAAGCTTAACCACACCACAGGAGGAGTATATATCCCCCTAACTAGCAGTACATAGAGCATAGCATAATAGGTGGCTGCATAAGGTTGGTTGCCCAAAACCACCGCCAAGCAAACCAATGATTCGACAGTTCAAATTGCTTAGATTGGACCAAAAAGGGGAAATTTTTGTATGTTGCGGGTACAGGTTTACCATCCAATATACTTTTTTGTTGTCTTAAAAATAAAATTAAAAAAGGTTTTCTCCTCTAAGAAAAGTACTTTCTTCATTCAAAACAAAACGAAAAAAACTTCATAGCTTCTTCTTTCTCTTAAACTCTGATTTTCTGGTAATCATCATTATTCATCGATATCTCTTTGGTTCTTTTTTCAATCCTTTGACAATTTTTGTTATTATTTCAATTTCAGGAATTTCAACACCAAAGAGAGAAAACCCTAATTCCTAAATTCATAAATTCATAAAGACCACTCAAAATCAAATAGTCAGATTCAAATCTCAATTCAAATTCATTGCCAATAGGTAGGAAAGGGAGGGGGACTGTACAGTAAATGGGTATCACAATATTTCAATAACTCATACTAGTTCGAACCCGAGTGGCAATTGGGGGAGGGGGGAAAGTTGCCGCTCAACCATTGCAGCTAAACCCCATTGTCGTACCATCCAATGCACATGGGATATGTAGAAATATTTTATTTTTAGGGATTTTTAACTGTAGAGGTCCCTAAACTTCACCTCGAATTTCAATTGAATTCTGAAACTATTTTTTGAGGCAATTACATCATTTGACTCGACAAGTAGTTACAATTGAGTCCTCTTGTGATAGTCTGTCAATTTGGCCGTCAAAATGAGGTCTAAAAGCATCATAACTAGAGTCTCATATGAGTCCCAAGAAACCCCAAAGCAGACCTGTTTCCATTGACATTTTATTTATCAGCTCATAAGCTTATTCCAACAGGGGTTTTCTTCCAGGTTATAGGGTTTTGGAATTTTTCTTTGTAATCTAAACATGCCACCACTACGCCAAAAATTGAAAGCTATGTCACCTAAAAGACGTCGAAAAGTGAATTTCGTGACGTTGTTTTAAAATTGGCTACACAAATCACGTCAGGGTTTATAGAAGCGACATCGAGTTTAGATAACAATAAATTGTTGGCCATATGCCATATATACTTACTATTATGTTGAATTGAGTTTCTTTAATAGGAGTTGATAAATTTTCCTCATTATTGAATTGGCGCATGTGTCAAAAAGATCATTTTTGAAGTTGTGAGGAAATTAATACCTATCAGAAAATATGGAGTCAGTGATTTACTCTATTTTTGTCATGCGAGAAACATGACCTAATCTAACATGTCAAATATTTAAAGACTCAACAAAGTAAACATAAACCTTATTTATATTATTAAAAGCAACATTGTCAGTTACATTGAGTTTGAACAAGCTATCAGCAAGGTACCTTTCCCTACAAACAGTCCTCCTTTGGTGAGGATGAACCTGTCATATTCAAATACAAGTTTGAAACCCTTCTTACTAAGAATAGGGTCAGACACTAAGTTCTTCCTAATTTCAAGAACATGCAGCACATCCAAAGGGTTAAAACCTTCCCATAGGTGCAAGTGGCACCACCGCACAGGGCCCCCAATTCTTAAGGGCCCCAAAAAAAATATTTCTTTATATTATATATATATTATTGTAGGCATCATATATATAGTATAGCATCTGGATATTTGCACAACAGCGTGTCTAGGGGACTTGGCTAGAGCGCGTATCTCGTTAACAACAATACCAGAGTTCGATTCTCATGAGGTCGATCTTTTGGCCTTCCTTTATATTATTTTTGCATTTGAACTTTACATAATTAAAAACAGGAAACATCGAAGCTTAACCACACCACAGGAGGAGTATATATCCCCCTAACTATCGTTCTTAAAAATAAAATTAAAAAAGGTTTTCTCCTCTAAGAAAAGTACTTTCTTCATTCAAAACAAAACGAAAAAAACTTCATAGCTTCTTCTTTCTCTTAAACTCTGATTTTCTGGTAATCATCATTATTCATCGATATCTCTTTGGTTCTTTTTTCAATCCTTTGACAATTTTTGTTATTATTTCAATTTCAGGAATTTCAACACCAAAGAGAGAAAACCCTAATTCCTAAATTCATAAATTCATAAAGACCACTCAAAATCAAATAGTCAGATTCAAATCTCAATTCAAATTCAGGTATGTATCTAAATTTCAATCTATTCCACATATTACATGACTTATTTTATTAAATTATTATCATGTTGGTGATTGGTTATATGAGAATATAGTTTGTAGAAATATTTATCTATTTCTTGCTGGGGTTTTCTTCCAGGTTATAGGGTTTTGGAATTTTTCTTTGTAATCTAAACATGCCACCACTACGCCAAAAATTGAAAGCTACGTCACCTAAAAGACGTCGAAAAGTGAATTTCACGACGTTGTTTTAAAATTGGCTACAAATCACGTCAGGGTTTATAGAAGCGACGTCCTAGGATATCTAATACGGTGGTTTATGAAAACATATTTCAAAACCACGTCAGTTGTCAAGACAAAGCGACGTGGATTCAAAACACGCTAAACACTGTTCACTCAAGTGACCTAAATTTTCACGACTCGCACTTGCTCTTCTAAGTTTCCCTCTCGTTGCTCTCGATGAAAATTTCCAATCTCTCTCGACCTCTCCCTATCTGGACCTCACTTGGTTCAAACCATCTCTCTCTCTCTCGTTCTATCATATCTCTAAGGTCGTCATCTCTTTCGTGTTCACTGTGGGTTCCGTCTATTTGGGGTTGTCTTGCCGTGGCTACCGTCGACATTGGCGTTCACTGCCCTGCACTTGGCTGTCGTTGACATTGACGCTCGCTGCCATTGATTTCTCATTCCCTGGGCTTATGCCATTGGAGGTCATTGAGCTCCCTCAAGTTCGCAACCCTTCATCAACACTCTCAGGTACTTTCGCTAAGCCTTTTACTTTGTCAATCACGAATTTGGGTTTGGGCTTCTCCCTTTTCTGAGTCAGAGATATGTTTTTTTGGCTTGTTTGGTTAGATTGGAAGGCTTCTCCTTTAAGAAATATTGTTGTTCATATTTTAAGAATTACTCATGTTCCTTAATTTTGCTTGATTTGGTTGTTGTGGTGCTATTTTCATGCGTTGTTTATTTATTTTGTTTTGTTCTTTCTGTAGATTTCTTGTCATTGGTACATTTTGATTGAAATTATTGGGTTAATTGAAATAGGTTCGGGGTTCTATAGATTTCTGTTTATAGCACCAAGTGTATTTGTTTCATCCCACGAGTCCTTGTGTGTTTGAATTATTCTTCAGTTTTTTTGAACGTCAATTATGGTCTTTCACTTGAGAGCAAAACTTGTTGGCCTGGACAACTTTCAGCCATATGTATTGCTCTTCTTCTCTTGATGAACACATGAAGGTAATAGCTTATCCAAGTATATTATTGTTGTGCTTCTTTTGTGAGATCATGCTCTAACTCTTCTTTTTTTATTTGCAGATTTATATCTTTTCACCATCATTTTATTTATATTTTTTTCCTTTTGCAGGTTCTCTATGGTCCTTTTTATGCTCATTTTTACAAGTTTTCGATGAAAATATAGTTCAAGGGTAAAATTTCTCTTTCACTAATTTTATTTGTTTATAATCTTAGCTTTTTTTTCTTTTCTTTCTATCATTTTGATTTATTTACAAGGATGATGGAGGAGACTTCAATTGTGCATCATTTGTATGTTTGGATGAGGAATGCTTGGATTAGGAGTACATAGGTCTTGTTAGGAAAAGCTTGTACTGCTCAATTACCATGTATCAATTGAATATTTATATTTAATTGGTGGGAAAGTATGTTTGTTGTAGACTAAAGATTGGTTAACCATGTAATAACTATTGAATCTTCAAGTTTTATGAAAGAAACTATTTTTGAGTGTATATATTCATTAATAAAGCATTACGGTTGGTTTTCTAGTTAAAATCGTTGTATAGCATCATAGGAAACCAAAAAGAACTAATGTAATAGCTTGGGAACTTATTAGATGATAGTTTTTATAATAAATCGTGGTCTTTATAAATAATTAACGACGGTTTTTATAAAACAAACATCGTCTATATAGGAAAATAACGAAGGTTTTTAAGAAAAACCGTAGTCTTTATAGGAAAATAACGACGGTTTTCTCTTCAAAACCGTTGTCTTTATATAACAACAACGACGGTTTTCTTTAAAAACCATCGTCTTTACAATAAACAACGACGGTTAAAAGCCGTCGTAGTTTGACACCCAAAAAGATGGCGGTCGATTTAACGATGGTTTTCAAATCATTACAACGACGTTGGATCCCCGTCGTCTATTTCGTTTTTTGTAGTAGTGCACCTACTAGAAAATACATTTCTGGATATACAAAACGGCTTAGAAAAAGAAAATTTGAGGAATTGACTCAATCTCAAAGAGGAGCTCTTGATAGATTCATTGTTAAAGAATCACATGCTACAATTGATGAAAATGTTTTCAGTGAACAACAAGAAGATGATGTTGAGGAATTGCAAGATATTGAAAACAATATGGATGAATGTGTGGGTAATGCTGAGCAGAATGAGAATGATGACAACGAAAATGCTGATATTGATGATCACAATGAAGATGTTGAAGATCTAGACATAGAAAATGATAACAATGAGAACATCATTGATTCATTCAATGAATAACCAAGCCAGTCCATTCCATTGGATATTTATGATCCAAGAAATTGGGATAATATTGATCCCAAATTCCATGACCTATTAATGGAAAAATGTCCTGTAAGAGATCTATTAATAGGAAAAGGTCCTAAAGATCATTTACATAGACGTTTCTCTTCAACATTTTACACTCGTCATTTGCCAAATGGAGAGCAACATGATAGAGATTGGCTAGTGTATTCAAAGGATCTTAACAAAGTATTTTGTTTTTGTTGTAAGTTATTTAAAAAAGGGCCACAAAAAAGTCAGTTAGCAAATGAGGGATTTAAAGATTGGATACATCTTAGTGGCAGACTTACGCATGTGATTTGGACAAGCGTGATCCACTACAGGTATTGTATTCACTCTTGCTGGAGGTCCAGTTAGTTGGAGGTCGATTTTGCAATCTATATTTGCTTTGTCGACTGTTGAGGCGGAATACATAGCTGTAACATAAGCTATAAATGAATCCATCTGGCTTCAAGGATTGCTTGATGACTCAGGGGTTCAACAGGACCATGTGGATATTCATTGTGACAGTCAGAGTGCTATTTATTTAGCAAAGAATTAAGTTCATCATGCACGTATGAAACATATTGACGTATGGTTCCTTTTTTTTCGTGAGATTATTGAAGAGGGAGATATTCTTCTTGAGAGGATCGGGACTGCCAACAATCCTGCAGATATGTTGACGAAGCCAGTTTCGTTGCTCAAGTTTAAGCATTGCTTAGACTTGATTGGAATTTGTAATGCCTAATGGGAGATTGGGAGATGACCATTATGAGTATTATCACAAAAGGATGATACAGTTTGAGCCAAGGTTGAGATTGATGATTAGTGGCTCAAACAGTAGTCAAAAGTGGAAATCACTTTCGGTGATTTTGTTTACTATCATGATTAGTGGCTTGTCGTTGCATGGTAAGTAGGCTGCTATCATAATTATTGAATGGAGCACTTGCCGACAACTACATGATGAATATCACTTTGTGATAATAACCAAAGGAATTGTTTACATTATGTTTTGGTTTCTGCGTGAGCCATTTTGATTATTATATTAACGTATAATAATATTGTCTTGACAATCCTTGGTTATATATTGCCGCTCCATTTGCTCCAGCAGAGGTAGACTGAGAGAGAGAAGGTAGGAAGAAGGAAAAATCAGAGTTGTGCAGTAGAAAAATTGTGGCTGCCATTAGTGAATTTTTTCATTGTTCAAATTGTACTCAATTTGTATTCCCTTTGTATTCTTGAGTGTGTGAGCTTGGGTATATTTGGGGCTTGAGTTTTCTGAGTGTTAAACACTATTGTATTCTCTCATTTGATTATAATGGATGTAGGCATTGTCGAACCAGTATAAATCTTGGTGTTCTTGTTGGTGTTGTTTTGTTCCTTTTATCTCTTGCCAGTTGTTGTTTATTTTTCACTCACTGTTGGTTGACGCTTCCGCACAACACTGCCTCTGCCTTCAATTGTAGATACAGAGGCAATTCCCATGTACAGTTTCTCACCACCAGAATTCTGTTTGTAATCAATGAACGTATTTATGTTATCACAAATGTGCCTAGTAGCACTTGTATCAATCCACTAGTCCTTAGTATCATAAACCATATTGGTTTCAGACACTACAGCCACAAAATCCTCTAAACAGATTTGTATAGCACGCTCTGCAATGGAATCAGAATTTGTAGCATTAGACAAAGCTGCTGAAGAAGCAGAATGGCTAAGAAACTTCCTAAAGGACATTCCAATGTGGCCTAAGCCTGTGACAACAATTTGTATACACTGTGATAGTATGGCAGCACAAGCAAGAGCCAAAAGTGGTGTACACAATGGCAGTCAAGACATAATAGGCATAGGCATAATACAATTATACAATTTCTCTCAAATGGAATTATATCCATTGACTATGTGAAGTCAAATGACAATATTGCAGATCCTTTGACAAAAGGCCTACCAATTGAGCAAATCAAATACATCGAGGGGAATGGGATTAAAGAGAATCCAATTAGTCAAACCTGGCGGAAACCTAACTTAGTTGATTGGAGATCCCATGGTCTAGGTTCAATAGGCAAACTGGTTGGGTGAGATTCAAAAAGTTGAACACACAATTCAATGGTTAGTGTGTTGTCT